GCGTAGGTGCGAACAGATTTGAAATCGGATTGATAACGAAGATTCTACATTCGAACATCCAACATTTTCGGATATTTTCATGTTTTGTCCGTAGTGATCTTGTTTTGTGAGCCACTAGGGCCCATATGTTTCCTCATTTTTCCTTCCCCGTGACCTTCTTCCTTCTTCCTCATTTCTGAAAAACAAACGCACACTTTCTCTGTCATAACTCTCTCATCTCTCTCCTTTTCTACACTATTGGCTCACTCTCAAGCCACTATTTCCTAGAGCTTTCCACACAAACAAACTACACAACAACAACAACAAAAGCATCCCCACCATCATCTTAGCAAAATCGAAGGAGAACTCTCCAAACCTTCCTAAACTCGCTGCAGTGTTTTGTACTGTTCATTGAGTTTTCCAACGAGTTTCCACGTTCTCTAGTGAAGGTAAGCCTCAAACCTCATCCAAAAGTTGTAGATCATGTCTTGGTGTATGTTTGGAAGTAGTTTTGAGAAGATTTGGTGATGTTTAGACGTAAGAATCTCACGGGGAAAGTTTCCCCAGTTTTCCGGCAAAGCATGGCCATTTTTTAGGCAATTTTCTGCTAAACCACGATGAGTTAGCCATTGTGCAAGGTACCATTCTTTTCATCTCATTGAGTACTACAACTTTCATTTTTGAATCACTCGATTTGGCTGAATATTGGAGAAGTTATGAGCTTTTGAAAGTGTGCCTGGAAATCGACCAACCCATGACCTGAAACCAGATCGACCCGACCCGATGACCCTCAACCCAGATTCCTTTGGGCCGGGTTACCCAGCCCAATAGGCCCAAGCTTAGAACCCAATTACCCAACCCATTAACTTAAGCACAAATCCCATAACTGATCCAGCCTAAAACCCAAAACTGGACCGGCCTAAACCCAGATCCCAGTCTACACGTAGGCCTGCGCTTGGGCGATTATCTTGGCTGGCGTGTGGAGCACATGCGCCTCCACCGAAGGTACTGTGCTTCATCGCTGTCCACGGTGACGTCGGTGACTTTTCCAGCCAACTTTTTGACGACCCAAATCGACGAGTGACCGGTCGAGCCGTCGCCCTTTGGCAGTTCGTGGGGGTAGCCGAGGTCCCCTTTATGTTTTTGACATTTTGAATCAGTTTAAAACGTCTGTTTTCCGAAATTCAATCATTATGGTATAGTTTTATTAATTGGACCATTTATGTGCTTAGGTGCGATTACTAGCGGTGTTTCCATCCCTCTTATTTTGCACGGCTCTTCGATAATGGAGTATCTGTGAGTGAACCCTTTCTAAAATGCATATTTTACTATTATAAATGCATACATGAAAAGCATGATTTAATGGTTACATTTTATGAAACGTTTATGAGTAAATTAGATTTACACTTTATGAGATATCATGCTTTAGTGAGAATATTTTGGAATACCATACTTTATTGATTTTTACGTTCTTTGTAGTATATATGATTGATGACTATATACTATGAAGATGTTTTAAGATATGATGTTTGAGCTACTAAACTCCATTGAGATATATGTACTTATGTTTGGAAATATTATGTTCAATGATTTTTGTGCTTATCTAGTGGTCACTGTTCTGCCGATGGGCGATGATACTTATATTGGCTTCGGGGGTTGTAGTGCCTACGGGTGGAAGATATTTAGATGGTTTTGGTCGGAAGAATTCTATATGCCTTCGGGCGAGGGATGATATCACTACTAAGCACACTATATATGATATATGTTTTATGAAGTTTTATAGCGTGCTAGAATTTTTGGAAAACCTATTACTTATTATGCTATATGAGTTTTCATAAACTCTGGGGGTTAGTACGTTGTTGAATAACTATGTTAATACTACTTATATATCAACTTGGTCCACTCATGTTTGTTTTGCGCCCCCTTAGGACATAGGAACGAGGCATATGATTCGAGCTACGAGGCATTCCCCTACTAGTGATTTCGTGTCATCCTTTCTGCTTTGACATCACTTGTAATAGCACCTTCTGTTACACCTTTTGCTTATATTCTGAATTAGATGTCTGGTCTGAACATGTCATGCATTATCACTATCATTTTACTGACAGTTGAATATTATTATATTATTTTAGTAAGGTTTGTATTTAAATATTACATTGCGTAGTTCGCATGAAATTTATATGCATGTTTCTCATGTTCTCGGCATATGCATTCATTGAATGACTTGAGTCACCCTCGGGTGTCGGCCAGCACGTGGCCATCCCTCTGTCCTCCAAACATCAGAATCAGGGTGTGTCAGGAAGTATTTCTCGAATTAGGATTCCATAGCTCTTTGGCTTACTTCTACGGACTGTCTAATCACGAAATACATTGCATGAAGCACACCATGATGACAAGCTTGGTAATGACGTCCAAATCCTTAAAGCCAGTGGTCCACCTTTCCAGATGGAATATTTGACCCCTAACATACTAGGGTTAAAATCTTCCTCATCCGTAAACTCCATCGCGAACCATCTTCTACCAAAGTGATCAAGGTAGAATATATTCTTGACTTCGTTTCTCCACAGCAGGCCCAGCTTCCACTTAATCAATCTCGCCTCAAGTGGTTGCCCAAACATCTTCCCCATGAAAACTCTAGACTGCATGTGCTTAACCTTGATCGTAGAGCACAGGTTAATGTTCACCCTAGTCACTCCTCTTTCCATGGTGAAAGTACTCTTAGCCCTTTTCCACCACCACCAGTTCCTGCCCAAGTTAAGGGACCGAGAAAGAGTTCTCCCAACTAAGAACATAGGTATTGAAACAAATCCTAGGACTAAGGGTCACGCTAGAGTTAGCGATAGATATGTGAAAGTTAAACATGTTGAAGGCAGAAGGTAAGAAAATAGAATGCATGGAAGCAGGCGATGACCAAAAGCATCACCAAAGCATGTATAAATAGCCAAACATTGGGGGAATCCAACCATCAAAACACACTAGCAGAATGAAAATCATCATTATCAAATGATCCAAACAAGGAAGCGCAGAAATAATAATTATAAAACTCACAAAGTTAATGGATGTAGATCTAGCCCCCAACCTCAAGGCAAATACAAAACTAGCACGCATGCACATAACCTACCTAGAAAAACGGACTATCACCAAATGGGAGCTTAAACGTCTTCATACAGAATAACACAACCAATTACTACACCAACCCCAGATCAACATCGATGTCATGCAATAATTGCTGAGGCATGCCCAAAACCCTAAACGTCATAATCCTGAGCTCTAAATCTAGGTTAGTCAAATCATCCTAGCAATAGAAAATTAAACAAACACAAACACAATCAAATAAATCTAAATTCACCCAATCAACAAGCCACAACTAATCAATCAACATACTAGCTACAAAACAACTCCTCGTAACACCACAAAACAAGTGAGAAACACGAAACCATCTTACACAACCTACTTGAGGAGGATGCAGAGACTTAAAAACTCTCCCAAGCTGCGCAAGCCACTCACACGAACTCCAATTAACCCTTTTCCCCAAATTATCTAATCCCTTGACTAACTCAAACTTTGTTAACCAAACCCTAATAATCCTTTCCAGACTTTAACCTTACCCTCTCAATTAGCACACAAGCAATAATCTTAACCCAATTCACCCAAGTCTTCATACACACCTTGCTAGAATGATCAAAGAACGATTCACGCAAGCATCGACGACGCAAGGCACAGAGAAACCCTAGTGCCATTTCTTTTTTCTTGTTATGACAATTGTCTTTGATTATTATTATTATTATTATTATTATTATTATTATTATTTTTAACAAACGATATTATCTACACTAAAGGGGAAAGGAGTGGGTTTGGCCTCACAATAGACTAACAATAATGTGGTTCAAATTTGCCTTTGACAAGAATTGAATCTAAGACCTCTCACTTACAAGTGAAGAGGAATATCACTAGACTGTAGTACTAACTGACATATTTATAACAATTTATATAAAAGTTTACTAAACACTTAGATGTGGATTTTTTTATATTTAAAGCACTTCAATACAAAATTAGGCTTAAGCTAAAGATAGAGGTTGTTAAAACATCAATGCTATTCTTACCATATTAATATACCACATTAGTATAACACATTGTGTGGCATCTGATGTGGTTGTCCACATCATCTAAATTAATCATAATTTAATTTAAATTTAAAACTATTTAATAAACTAATAAAAAATAAAAAATCTGAAATTAAATGGTGATTGTGGCATACGAGGAGCTTATCTCCTTCCTTCCCTTCCCGTTGCTTCTTCTCCCATTTCTTCTTCCACGCCATTTTTTTGTTTCATCCCAGATTTTTTTCAGCAGTCTTGCCATTGATGGAAGCAGACGAAGTAATGGAGCTATACGATTCTATCTAGTTCGAGATCCGGATCTTCAAGAAATAACTGGTTTCATCGAACCCATCAAATTTCGAAGAACACCCAGATCATGAAATCGAAGAAAACCCAGAAAACTCAAAGCCAAAGTTTTTATAGATTCCAACTAGGCACACCAGGTCCATGAGCGACGAGTTGAGCTCCAATACGAGCACTCCTCCACCGCTACGGGCCCCTTCGACTTCATTCAGCATTGATAAATTTGCAAACTTTCGGGTGGCGTGTTCATATCCTGCTAATATTTGTTTAAAGCTTTAAATTGGTTGCTGAATTGTGCGAGTTAGGACATTGAACTATGTGTGGTTGGATAGATTGTGATGAAGAAATGATGGTACACAAGCTAACACACGGGGTTAAAATCTAGGTTGAAACCAAAAAAATGGCTTGGAAGAAGAAATGAGAGAAGAAGCAACTGGGAATGAAGGAAGGAGAGAAGATTCCTTGTATGCCACAATTACCATTTAATTTCAGATTTTTTTATTAAGTATTAGTTCATTAAATGATTTTTAATTTAAATTAAATTATGATTGATTTAGATGATGTGGACAGCCGTATCAAATCAAATGTCACATTATATTAATGCGATATGAATAGTGTTGTTAAAAAGAATTAATTGCTCCCATTTCTCGGCATCCAAACAGCGGAATAACTTTGTAGAAATCTTCACTTCGCCGAGGTTTGTTTCGATCGGCGAGCGCGATGATCAGATTGTGATAACTTCAGAACCCAATTGAGGTGATTAGGGATTACGAGCGATTCAATATACGATGCGGTTGTTTCCTTTGAGCTCAAGCCAAGGCTCGACCTCCAGCGCAGACAAGGAGCTCGTTGATCGGGAAAAAAATCGCGCCCTTTTGTACCTCAATGTCTACGATCTCACGCCTGTGAACAACTACCTTTACTGGGTTGGATTCGGGATCTTCCACTCCGGCATAGAAGGTATGCGATTTTTGTGCTTTTTGGGGTTTTCGAGCGTTGCAAGTTTGAATTTTGAGTGTTTTGTGTTCTTATTAGGAGTTATTGCTGTTTGATTGGATAATTTGGTTTTATTGGGATGAATTTTGAGGAATTTCGGCATGGTATTGTGTTGTTAGACTGTGCTGGTGTTTGTAAGAAAAGAGTAACTGAAATGGTAACTAGAAGAGATTGCTTACGTCCGAAAGCATGCTGCTTAATTTATTATTGACAAGATGCAAACAATTATTCTTTAGAGAACGTTTCTACCGAAGATTTCAGATAATCATATGATGAAATTGAAACCTAAACACCCCTGTGAACATCGATGTGCCCCTCCAAGAAAACTGTTTTCGTCTCAAATGAAAACTGCATTTATGTGCATAAGGAGAAGCAGGTGTAGATAAAGATTAGTATTTTGAGGTATAAATGGAACTTTTTCGAATAGTACAATTCTGTTGCAGAACTTCCATAAATCAAGTGATTAGAAAGTAAGATTATTTAATGAGAGAATTGTAAGTGTTACGAGTTCCTTACTAGAATATTGTAGGTCTGCAATGGTGGTCATCGAATAGAAGCGTCAAATTATATAAAGGGTTTGTAGCTAATGTAAATATCAAATATGCAGATAGGCAAAAAGTCTATATATCACAGCATGGTATAAACTGGAGCAGCCATGATTGAGGTGTAAAATTCACCTGGTGACAAATCCGTATGTTCATATTACTGTATGTTCATAGTCACTATGAACAAAGCCTTAGGGATAGTCTCCTCCTCTCTGCATTTCTGTATGTTCAAGCTATTCAATAGGGAAAGCTCTGTATTGGATGTGTAGTTGTGAGAGAAGGGACCAAACCTACATTAATACAGTCCAAATTCATCAACCCTATTAAAGATAGAGTTCATACTACTATTTCATGTCTAACTAAAAGTCTAACTCAAATGAGGGGTGGTGTCAATAATAATCATTCACATAAAGACTCTATTACATTAAGTACAGTGCATCCTATGATACATTTGTGACCAAACAATACTTAAAATATTCTAACTGATATCATACAGAACACACAATTTGTGTGAAGCATCAAACTACATAAAGGGTTATTGCAAGTAATCATTGCAGAACATATAACAATTGTCTGTTGAATTTAAGTACAATGCTTCTTGAACCAGGACTACCTAAATATCAGAATGCTGAAATATAAATCTTGGAAAATTAGATTACTTCCTGGTTTTGTAGAATCCTTTACTTATTATTGTTGCTGTTTTGCTCTTAGTTTTTCTTTTGTATTTGAGGTGTTTGGCTTCCCATTGGCAGCCTTTATACAAAATTATAGTTGAAAAGCATGACAAAGTTCTAACTATTTTTGTTTACAGTTCATGGCATGGAGTATGGCTTTGGAGCCCATGAGTATCCCAGCAGTGGGGTTTTTGAGGTGGAACCAAGAAGTTGTCCTGGCTTCATCTTCAGAAGGTCAGTCCTGTTGGGAAGCACTGAAATGTCTCGCTCAGAAGTTCGGTCATTTATGGAGCATCTTTCTGGAAAGTATCGTGGAGATACCTATCATTTAATTGCCAAGAATTGCAACCATTTCACTGATGAAGTTTGTATGCAGCTAACTGGAAAACCTATACCTGGATGGGTAAATCGGCTGGCCCAAGTAGGTGAGAGTTAAAGTACTCTACTTCAATATTCACAAGATCTACAAGCTACCTTGAATTAGATTTTTTTTAGACCTTATAAATGAATGACACATCCTCGTTACTGATTATAAAAGGCAGTAGTGTGGGTTATTATACTATTAACTTGGCTTTGTGTGCCCATAGATTCTATACCATAGGTGGGTCCACAAATGTTTGATGAGCTTTTCATTTTTTTTGAGTCGAGGTTTCTTTTAAGTTTCAGGTTCTTTCTGCAACTGTCTTCTCCCAGAAAACATTCAAATTTCAGCAGTGAGACATCTTCCTGACCATCCAGCATATTCTGGTATGTTCCCATTGGAAAAAAAAAGAAAAATGTTCTTTAAAGAGTTTTGCATCACAATCTTGCATATTCTTTCTGACTTCCTTTTCTGCAATATAGTTATACTTCCTCTTATGGGACTCAATCTTCTGTCTTGAAGATGTATGAGTGTACTTATATAAAATGAGTACAAGGAAAAATAAACTAAGCAGATTTCATTTCTCCGTACTACTAAAAGGCTCGTGAACATGTAATTTGGAATGCGGTCAGAGTTGGGGTGAGACGAGAGAGGGCTGGAGTGTATAGAAGGAGGGTGGTTTGGTCGAAAGAAGGCAAATGAGGGTAAAAACATGAAACATCTAACTGAAGTGGGCTAGTATTCAATAAGCATTACAAAAAATTTTAAGATTTGTTAGGCATATATGAAATGAACAATAAAGGGAGTTGGGCATAACGCTTCCATCTGGTCAACTTTTAAAATTTGAAGTTTACTTAACAAACTCTATACCAAAAGTGCTCAACTAATCCACTAACATGTATTGGTATTGCTCATTAAATTTGCAACCCACCAATTCCTCTCTAAACCCACAACTTGCCCTCGTCTATGTATTCTTCACCCAAACTCTAAGATTATGTCATGGATGAGGGATTTGCAAGTACTAAGAGAATGAGCTAATTAGGTGGACATGCACTACAAAAGATTTGATGAAGGTATTTGAAATGACTAGATATTGATACATTGAATGGGATCATATGCAGATCCTTTTTGGTGGTCTTATGCAATTATAACAAGTGAGAAGATTAAAATATGAGATCAGATGTGTACGAGTTTTTTTAATTCTGTGTTTGAATTTGCTTTGCCAACCGAGGTTGAACAAATGATATATATTAAGTTGATTACAATTTACAAATGGACAAACATGATATGTCTGAGGGACTGTGGACATCGATTAAGCATATCTGAGATCTGATTTCTGGTGTCCGTGCATCATGTGGTCCTTGTTGGTTGAATGATGCTCGAACCTTGAACAAAAATGCATGATAACAAAAATAAATCAGAAATTCGCACTTCTTTCTCTGTAGATTGCTCTCTTATCGCAATTTTCGTGTTAATTTTCCAAATTTATTAAGACTAAACTACAATGAGAGTTTGTCTAAGAATTATGAAAGTTAGAGAGATTACGTGTGGGGTTAATGAGCTCCTGGCATATAGGTGGGTGGTGATATAGATTACATAATTTATTGTAAATAGGATCTAAGGAAGGCATCTTTTGGAGTTAAATACAATCACTTGAAATATTTTCTTTAAGACACTCTGATTGAATAAAATGCCATCGACCTCTCCTCTAAATGCTTTTGACTCTTCCGCAAAATGATTTGGAATTCCACACCCCACCCACAACCCCTCCCCCACCACCTCCCCACCACCCCACCACCCCCCCCACCCCCCCCCCCCCCCCCCCCCCCCCCCCAAAAAAGCCTATTAAACACAGTTGAATATCATTTGGATGGCTGGAAATTGACTTGCCATTTGTTTTATAAGAGCTTTCGTTGCAAGTTCAGCTTTTGGAGAACATAATTACAGGATAAAGTGGATACAAACAACCTAAATTCCTCTTTGACCATATCATTCAGTTTTCTTTTACCATGCAATAAGGTTCTGGAGAAGATGGATTAACAACTGAAGCAAAGCACACAACATGGAGTGTAGTTCATTACACAAAATGTTTCAACGTATGTTCTGTTTTCCTTCTCTGTATGTTACTGGTATTAAAGCTTACCAAATGAAATGGGGGAAGATTCAGTTCTCAAATTGAGTCCAGCTTGGTAATGGAACCTGAGGAGAGAAACAAAAGGGAAGCTTGCGTGCACAGATTTATCTGTGAGAGTAAGAGAGAGAAAGTTGATACGATAGAACTGATATGCTTTTGTGTTCCCTACGAAATAAAACAAAATGTGGTTTCAACCCTTGGATGGTGCACCACCCCATGGTGCACAAATGCGTCTTTTTCTTTTTGTTCCATAAACAGGACCGTTTAGTTACAGCACCAAATACATTTCTTTTTTTTCATACCATGACTTATGACCATGGATTCTTTGCTCTTTGTTTGACTTTGCGAACATGTTGGTAGTTCAGTTGAAGGAATAAAATAAATAGAATTATTTTTCTTTTCTGTTTTCTGGAAAGAAACATAATAGGTTGAATAATCAAACACTTTGATTGATGGACTCAACCTCTGGGCTTAATTGCTTTCGGTTGAGAGATTGATCTAGCGTGGAAATTCGAGAACTCAAGTTGGTCAAGATATTTGTTGTGGACGTCTGATGGTATTTATCGAATCCTACCATGCAGGTTACCATCAACAGGTGCAAACTGTACACCTATACTCAGAATCTAGGTTTACGACTTGAATTAGTTCTAGTCCTTCATGTCAATGAGAGCTTTAATTGTTTGGTGAAAAGATTTTGAACTTTGTGTGTATGCAGACAAGGATGTGTGATGTGTGATGTGTGATGTGTATGCTTGGGGGTACTTTACATGTGTGATGTCGTTTGCATAAATTATTTTCCCTTCCTTACTGTCTCTGCAGACGAGGATGATGACTACGGATCAGAATCTATCGCATCATCTGGAACAGGAGCAAGTGAGGAGGGGCAAAATCATCATCTCCTGACTGTACCAAGTGGTGATGTAGCTTTCGTGAAGGAAAAACCTCCGACGTGATCAAGGGAGCTATAATTTCTTCCACTCAGTATTATTTGTGTTATCCTCATGTCTCCGATTGTACTTGTACGTAGTCTATGATTCTAAATGTATCACCAAACGTGTCTCAGCCATATTATATGATAGTTCCTGGTATAGTGATGGTATAGTGATGATGCTTGATATTTGTTTCCTGGGTTTATCGTTCAGAAATGTATGAATATGATTCCACTTATATCCGAACTGTAACATGCGTTGAGTTATTATATGCACTGTTTATAGGTGGTTTCTTATTTTTTATTTATAAAAATTCACTTTGAAAGCGTGTCCGTTTGGGTTAAAATCCTCTTCGGATCTTAATCGTCTGGATCCCTGCGGATAACCCAGAAAGTTGCAGCACTGATGCAAACTACGTCATTGCTTCGTTCCCCCTCTTCCCAGCTGCTGGAGATCCATCTGCTTGACGTGAATCTAGGCTTGGGCATCGACTTGGTGTTCGATGGATCTCAATTTGGTACAGCTTTTCGAGAAGCAGCCGGACATCGACTTGGCTCGATGGGCATTAACTGGACGACGGCCTTCGCCGGAGAAGCAGTCGGGCATCTCCAAGAGATGTCATCGACCTCGTTTTGCAATGTGGCGGAAGAGGGTTGTTGCTTCTTGTTGATTCCTGGCCGCCCAAATTTTTGGACGGTCGGGATCAATTGATCCTCAAGATCCAGATGGTTAAGATCCGAATAGGATCTTATTCATGTTGAAATCCCTGGCATTGTCCTACATTTGCCATGCTCGAGCACAATTCAACTGGTTTGGGTTCATTTCACTATGTCTACCTATCATTCAAAAGTCAAGCCTAATAGCAGAGGCTTGTAATTAAGCATGACATTAAAGTAATTATATGAGGATGTTGAGATCAGAAACTAGACCCATAGGGCACACCTTACCCACCAGAAGTAGGTAGATGTGGGAACATAAAATATCCCAACCAATGGGAAAACGTCATATGTACAACTGTCCAAGTCTATTGCCACACGACCTATGCAAATTACCTTGATATGCAATGGGCTTGCCTATCAGTCTCTTAACAGAGTAAGACTCTTCAAAGCATATTTTAAAAATCTTAGAGGAATATTCCTCCATCCTCGTGCTGATATTTTAGAAATCTCAGGGGAATATGACACCGGTCACGTCTCCCATGGGATTCGTAATGCCGCCCACCGAAGCCATCACGACTTCCATTATTCCCAAGAAGGGACTTCCCCAAATACGGTTAGGGTTTCACAAACCCTGGTGCGCGAAACCCTAGGGCTTTCTGACCTATAAGCTCAAGGCCCAGTCCGAACGCTAGCCAACGCATGCCACAGCTCGCTCGTTCCGGGTGACCACCAAATGCTCACTAATCGACCGATCACGCAAGGAAAAACCTCACGATGATCAACTGCCCCTTGGCCCCGTGACTCAACAAGACACGAGGATCGAGCGCACCAAGGTGCCCGACTCCCAGGCCCAGCTAACCAGCAAGAGGAAATCCACTCACAAATGGCCCAACTTTCGGATAAGATTAAGAGGCAGACTACCTTGGTTGACATGTTTGCTTAGACGAGTCGGCGGACTACCTAAAATCAGCAAAAGCAGTCAGCTCCAGTTAGGAGTGTCCATTCTAGACTAGGTTCCCAGGGCAGCGGAAACTCCCAGACCCATGCCAGGAGGACGTGTTTTTGCCTTCCTATAGCATTCCAGGTGTGTCCATTCCAGAATAGGCTCCAAGGGCAGCATACGCTTAAGGCTCAAGTCCCACGGAGCACCTCCCAGATACTAACAGCAGGCCATGCACAAAGTGCCACCACGAGACAACGGCTAAGTAGCAAACTTAACTAATTTGCCAAATAAACATCAAGAGGAACAACTACCCCCTGTCGAATTCGTTCAGCTGCCACTTCCAAGCTGCCCACGTTGAGTCATAGACCAGTCAGATGAGCCTGGACCTTTTTGAGCCTGCGATATCCTTCGGTAGGTCGACGAACGTCTCTGCAATCTCCGTCCGGTGGGCAACATCGAGGATAACCTATGCAGAGAAGTGGAACATGTGAATACCACCCCGTCATCTGACGAAACTGAACAAACACTGCCACTTATGCAGGTCAGCACATCGGTTTTCTCGCTATTCAAGGGAGATCAGACTGAGATCGCCACCTTAAGTACAATCGAAGCGTCCTGATCCCCCAAGAAAGGAATGACAGACTGATGTGCAAGGTGTTTGCAATTAAGTTGCAAGGAGCGACACATGATTGATTTCACACCCTACCACCGCGCTCCATACGCATCTTTGGTGAGCTATTGCTAGTCCGCAAAAGAATACGTATACTACGGAGGGGTTGGTAGATTGTCTGATGATCAGCTATTTAGCCTGAAGAAGAAGTCGAATGACTTACTCAACATCGCTTTAAGGTAGAGGAAGCCAAACTGAGACGAGACCATTACCACCACGACATTCAAGAATGGCCTGCCGATGGACCACCACTTGTGGCGAAATCGTCATGAAGCATGGGCAAACCCTGGCCTAAATATTTGAACTTGCAGAGCGCCGCGCTGTGGGATGACGAGAATAATGCCACCAAGACTCCAGAACACTTGAAGAAGGATCAAGAGCAACTCCGCAACGGGCAGATCAAAAGGGGAATGTCAAACATAAAGAAGCTGATAAGCGCAAATCATGCTAATCGACCAGCGAGACCTAGTCGAACAAGACATACACGGAGTTCTCCATTACTATTCGCCAGATTTACAACGTGAACAAGAATGATCCCTTTCTGCGAGACCGCCTCTACTGAAAAACCCCAAGAAGGGAGACCAATCTCAGTATTGCGCATACCATGGAGTACACGGCCATGATCTGGAGCAATGCTAAAAGTGGAGGGATTACTTGGATAAGATCATACAGAAGAGCAAGGTTTTGTTGCCACCGAGGCCATGCAACAGATTGATGAGGGGGACGCTGAGACCTGTCAAAGCATGTGAGTCTCATCTCTATTAGAGAAATGATACAAATAGATGATAAGAATAACATTTTTTATGTTCAAATTAACGTTTAACTATTTAGACCAGGGGACATTAAATTTTTATTGTTGTTAAGGAGGGCTATTGTTGATAAAGGAAAATAAAAACTATTCAAATAATAGAATATTAAAAATAACATTAAAGAAATTTCATTTGGAGCCAATTCGATTGAATTGGATGTTCGGTTCCCCCGCTTGTCTGTGTCAATTGTAATGTATTGTCATACAATAATGCCTTACGCAATATGCATGGGTCATATCACTGCATATTGTTGATGATATTTTCGGTTGTTAATCATGTTTCTAGGGTTAAAAGTGGCTTTACATCTCAGAATTAGTATTTGCTACTCGACTATGGACACGATGCAAGTGAAATTTCACGTTCCAGAACCAGTCAAACTCCAGTTATTTGTCAAAGGTGAATAGGTTTTGTTCTTTCCAGTATGGACACCAGGTAAATAGGGCATGTTATCTCAGAGTTTCTTGAGATGCAAAGAACTGACCGTCATTACTGATGCTTCGATAAAGGAGCACAGTGATTGCAGCAAAAAAATTCTTGAGTGCTCTGGACTATTGGTACTCCAAATGTTAACCGTTAGATCTTAATTTTTGTACTAAACAAAAATCTAACAGTTAAAATATTAAGAATACTGAATACTCCGAAGCATTCAAGAGAGTCCCGTTGAAGCATGCATTTATTGCGTGGTAGTCTGACAGACGGCACCATTAAAATTTACAGAAAACTTTGTGCATCCTCAACCCAAAGAGAGTGTCAGAGACTCAGAAGATTGAAGGATCAGAATAAATGGAGAACGATTATCTCCTCATCTAATTTCTCTCTCCTTCCCATCCCTCTTATTTTAACGGTTACGATTATGACATGTCAATATTTATAGAGATAATAAGATAAAAAACAAAGAGTGAGAGAAGAGGAGGAAAAGGGCAGAGAATACCAGAGGAGAGAATCCTACTCCAAATTTAACGCCCTGGGTTGCCATTTTTGACTACCACTAATACGCTTCATTCTTGATGCTGAAACCGATGCTCTCATGCATGCATTGGAATCTACCAAGAGTTTCATGAGTATTGGAACCATCAAATATAGCTAAATAAATTCTTAGAGTAATGCAAAATATTTAATTAGTCATTTAACAATATTTTAAATACTTTGGGGAAAAGTAAAAGTCCAATTCCGACTTGGGGTTTTTTTCTTCTGTTTGTACTCTTTATAAATAGAAACGCTAAGTAATCTCAAAAGTAGAACTCTTTATGAATTCTTTATTACTTCATAATTTAACGTTAATTTTTGTGCTAACATTATAATACATTGTGTCAAAAACATGAGGTAACAGAAAGTCTAACTTTTGTGAGAGCCTACATAGCATTTCATTTTATAAATATCATGTACTAAAGCCATGTGCAATTGAAGTGAGTTGATTCTCCTTCTAAAATCAAGCGTTTGACTTGGTCGTATTGAGTGAATCCACGATTAGTGGCATGAGTATTCCGTTGTCTATGGTTGAGTTATTCCCAAGTTCTATCCCCCGTCTCTTTGAGACCCTTGACTCGTCCTTCATCAGTTCTACTATACCTAATGTATAAGTATATAGTTGTTTTTGGTTTTTATTAAATTCTTCGTGCATAGTCGTTAAATTGAGTAATGTATGTTACACATGGGATATGGCACCAAAAGAGGTATTGTCATAATTATAATTGGGTGAAAATGCATTGACATTTATCATCACGTTCTAACTTTTTAAATTAACTCAATAACAACGTTATAATTACTAGCCTTCATGCACGAGTTAACACGCGTGTAGAAGATATTTTTTGAATCACGGCATGCTATGCGTGACTTATATGTTTTAAATGTATTTATATGCGTAAATTGACAAAAAGAAAGTCAAAATAGAAAAAATAATATCTAATAAATGTATTTATATACGTTTTTTATAACTGGCATTACATGCCTCTTAAGATGTTCTGAACGTGTTTAAAAATAGAGAAAATAATATTTAATAAACAACTGATTGAATCACATTATTACTAGCCCATTGTGAGACTAAGCCCACCGTCTTCCCCTTAATGTAGATAATATCGTTTGTTAAAAAAAAACAATCATTTGACAATTTATTTAATCACATTATTATCCGCATGTGAAAGACATTTTTTATAACCAGCATTACACGCCTCTTAAGATGTTTTGAACG